CATGCCGTAGCTTCGTTAGTATACTGTCTCTGGGCGATGACGTCTTCCTTGGTCCGTCTTGGGGGGGGGGGGCATTTGGCCTCCGCTCGTGGTGCTCACGTGAAGCTTTTGGGATCGTGCAGTTGACTTTTAGTCAGTACCGGTCGTAGGTCCTTCCCCAAAAGTGCAACGATGTAAGGTTCTAGGGACTAGTGGTGCAACTACTGGGTTCTCGTTTGCTAGCAACATGTTGCCTGGATCCTGAAGCAGGTGTAGGAAATCCGGGCATCTCTGAATTGCTAGTAATATAAAAATGGCCAAGCAGCTACTTAGACAAAAAATACACTCTGCAAAAATCCAAAATGTTATTTCAAAATTTTACATCAGTGTTGTTTTAAATATTCAATGATGTGGTTGTGCATTAGATTTAACGAACTGACCAATGGACGCGAGGTTGCTGCTAAAAGCGTCTAAGAGCAATACTAGGCGTATCGATCATCCTCACATTAAGTAAGTTCATTATAAACAGTTTCATAAATGAGATATAACCCATACGGGAAGATTTCGTGCATTGTTTGTGGCATTCCGATCAAATCAGAAATAACCTGGAAAGCCCATGTTTTAAGTAAATCCCATAAAGACGTATGTTTGTCGTTTAATCTGCTTCACCGTCCAGAATGCCATCCGCGGTACTGATTCTCTTAAGCGTATTCAGACTCAAGTGAAGGACAACACACCTCCCGCAAAAGTTGTTTTATTCTCATGAACTGTGATAATTTGTCAAAATTCTAGCACCCCAAGTTGGAAGTGGTAGTGCCGAAATCTGAAGCTTTAAATCTCAAGAAAGAAGAAAAGCTTTCTCTTAAGGTTCCCGACCCCTCTCGATCACCACATAAGGAGAAAGAAGGGACGCAGAATTGTTTATTACCGGAAGGGTTTTTTGATGATGCTCGCAGAGACGCTGAGGTTAGGAACGTGCCCTTCAAAGATAAGATGGACACTGAAATGGAAGTTTTCCGGAAAGAAGTAGGAACCCTAGACCAGGTTTGTTTCTCTCCTACCCATAATTTGAACTGTATTTAAACGTGTCTGTCAATTGTAGGAATTGGAGCAAATTCTCGAAAAAGATAACGAGGAAATGGTCGTTGCGAGGAATTTAGCAGAGGTTGATAAGCAGATGTAAGTTTTAACTTAGTATGGATATTGAATTCCTAGTTGGTAAGGGTTGAGATCGCTTATTTAGTTCTCAGTTGTGTTATGCACTAATGATTTGTGTTTGAGCCCTATTTGTTGAAACCTGTGCTTCTTCCTATTGATAGGTAGCAAGATTTTGCTAATTGTTCACAGACTCGAAAAGCCACTTGTTATCCTATACATTCTTCTCAGGATTATTCTGTCTATAATTTCGTCTTTGATGGCAATGCTAACCTTTGTTTTTCTATTGCTCGTATTTTCTGAACTTGTTCAAATTGCGACGTTTTTGCCTTCGGATAATCTCTCTACCTCAGTAGTCATTAAAAATGTTTTGATTTAATGTACTCTAAAAGGACTGATTATACGCATTGGGATTTTACCACTGTAAGTTCGCACATGTTTAGGTATAATCCTAGGTGTTTCACTTATCCATGTTAACAATTTGTAATTGTAATTATTTATCAGGGATTCTGTTTTATTGACGATTAATCAGGCTTTTTTAAATTATTCCGCGTTATGAGTTTTATTAAGCTCTGGGAGTACCTTGATTTAACTCGGCGTTATTGTATTTATTAACGTCGACTGGATGTGGCCTGAGCTGTCATTATCGTTCTCGCTTTAAAATTCTCTGAAGTATTTTGTGTAAGTTTTTTAGCTATTGAAACTGCTGCTCTGGTGAATAAACATGCCTCGGATTTTGACCACAATGTTGGATATTTCGTTATGCCATTTTTCATACCTCGGTGGTTGTGATTGGATTAACCGGACTTCCCTACATTCATCATTTGAAACTTGTATTTGTTGGAGCGTGGTTTTTATCTTATAGCTTTTGTCGTATCGTAGCTGGCCCTTAAGTAAAATGAAGTGAGCTTGGTGTTATTTCTAGTCTTTTTGTTAATTTTTTTCGTTTTTAGTCTTCTTTCCCGAAGTTTTAAACTTTGTTTGATAAGTTTAATCCTTACTTTTCTTCTAGTAAATTTTAACTGTAGGTTAACCACAAAGTCTACCTGCAGAGGTAGGCTGTTATTTTCGAAATTCCGCTACCGTTACTAATGAGCACAAGTAGTATCACAATGTATAGTTACAGCCTAGTCAGTGCGTGCTGTCGCAGAATCCTGCAAATTTCGGTTATTTTCGCACTGCCTTTCAGTTCGATGTGGGAGAAGTTCCGGGAATTGGAGATGCAAAAGGAAGCCAGTATATCAAAGAAGAAAATTGTGAAATCCGAAGGTGCTTCCATCAAAGTTGAAAACGAAGATGATGATAGTGACAGTGGTGACACTGACGAAGATGAACTAAACGATTTCCGTTTTAAAGCTGGTATCAGATAATGATTTCCAGTATCTTGTAAAAAGAAGTTGTATAGTCAATAAAATTGTGTAAGTTCTTGATCGTTTTTTTATCTAGGAAGCAGAATTTCTGCTTGTGACTTTCGTGATTTCAAAAAAATAACTGCCCTAGTTTTCATTGTAATTTTCTTTGAGACAGTTTCAAGGCGTCTATTATTGGATTAGAAAGTTGCTAAAAGAGCGCGTTTATCTGTTAGATTTCAGATTAGGTATGAAGTGAAGTCGTACTCGGGTTGTAGGTATGCTTCAATTTGAAGAAGGCGCCTGTGCATTCAGCATTAACCTGAAATTATTAAACATATTGAACTACTCATTTGAAAATATTTAGTAATATCGTCCGTAAAGCCTTGTTAATCTATGCCATACAATTTTTTGCTTTGATTTATTGATAGGGTGTGTCCCTTGATGCATGAGGCAGCTCTAGCAGTGGGGGGGAATCAGTCTGTCAATTTTTTTGACCTTGTCAAGTATTGATCCTTGTGTTGCATGAAGATTTCGTTTTTTTTTTCAATATCAAAGTGGGGTTATGAAAATGTTTATCGGGAGCGTATGTTGAGCGACAAAGAATGGGGGGGTTTTAAGCGAACGCCCGATTTTCTTACCTGTAGTCTTTCTTGGAGTACTTGTACTAAACCACCTAAACTCGATCTGTTGCAACGGTTTCCTAACTGGATGGCATTAATTTTGTCCATCTCCCTTGCCAATACCTAGAACAGCATACTTTCACTTGAAATATCAGAAGTAATGGCCTGTTGAAGTATTTTGACCACAATCGCAATCGTAAAAGCATCCCTCTGCGTCTTTAGCATCCTGAATGGCATTGAATATCTTATTTAGAAAAAGAATCCGCATCCTTCTTGTGGTAAGCTAAGGCACCATTTTACACTTTAGTAGGAATTTGGAAACTTGGATTATCAATTAGCTTTAGCATCCGCGCCCCCCATAGGATTTGAGGGCAGTGCAATTTAAGCATCTCAACTAACCTCAGGACTATGAGCTCACTACACCAGATCCCCAAGTCACTTTGACGTTACTTTATACTACTCATTAGTTCTCAACTAAATATTTGCTACGTGTTTGCTTAAAAATTTGGAACGCCCCACGCAAACGGCGTTTATAAAATCCATCAACTTTGTAAATTTCCTCATTTCTCACGATCGGTTCAGAGCTGGGAGTGGATTTTGTTACAATCCACATGAGTTTTCTCGGGGATCGACTCGATTACCAGCCTCCTAAGACAGTTAAGCCACACAATGTCCCAGCCATGCCTCACCACCATTGTGGTTACCGGGCGGAGTTCGGTCTTTTACACAACTAGCGGCGTAGGCGCAAAACGCTCCGACAATAATTATTTCACGTACCACCACCACCGCAACCCCCACTGTATTTCGGCTAAACGTTCCCAGGGGCCACATAGCTAAAAATCCTACAAAATTCAGTGAGCGCGCAGGGTCATGAAACTTAACTAACCACTGACGAGATCGCAATTTGATTAAAATGAGGGCCAAGGGATACGGAGATGAACGCTGCACGTAAAACTGAGTGGAGTTCTTACAGAAAAACCGATGTGACGACAAAGCGTTTGTAAGTTGCTGTTTAGATTTATGACTATTCGACGAATATTTTACTGTCCAATTTCATTGAACGGTAAGGTAAGGTAAAATTGTATTCACCATGACGTTGATAATTCATTCTCCGTCCTCCGGATTCCGATGGCAAAAGACAGATTAGAATTAATTGAAATATCTAAGCACAGTGCAAATCCTTCATTCGACTCTGAATATGTTATGACAGCACAGCTGGCGCCCAGAATTATGGAAGACTTGTTCAGATTTCATAGGACCAAAGAGCGGGGCTAGATGCTAGAAACCGAGCTGTGCGTACCACGTGCACAACACAGCTAAAATAGTCGGGCAAACTAGACTACAGTGCCTCAACAGAAGTCACCCAAACAAAAGTGCGAAGAGTCCAATTAAGAAGTGGCCCATCAAAGTCACACCGCGTTGGACCGTACACACGCGCGTGATAGAGTGGTAGGGCTAGCGTGGATTAAGGGAGTGACAAAAAGTGCCATCACATGGCTTTGGGTGTTATCAAGCTGCTATCACGCAAATCGGGCCTGTCCAGTGCGTGTCAGGGCTGTCTCTCTTCTGTTTATTCACTAGGTCAGGCACTTACAATAACATTGAATTCTCTCTTGTTGTCAAATGACCACCAAGAGATGAGTTCATTAGGAGAGGTTATGTACCTTAACTACTTTGTGATGAGTCGAAAGTGGCGTTGATTTAGTGTCTATCTAGAGGCTTATTGACTTGTGACCAAATCAACTCATTTATGCGCGATGTGAAAGATGAGTCGCTTAAGCTGATTCTGAAATTTTTTTTTGTAAAAAGGAGAAAGCGGAAAATGCAATTCTCCTTCGTATAGCATAGATTGCTTTTTTACCATACACCTACAGATTCGTGATTTTTCATAAATTTTGTCAAAATTTCTCTGTCGGCATGTGCATAGAAATTTTGAAAGCCTAACGTGAACGGGAGTCACATGCTATCTAGGCTTAAAAATCTCTCACCTATCTTTCGTTCTCGGTATCCATTTTCATGAAACCACAAATTGAATTAAATGTTGGTTTCGAGTTCAGAGCATACCATTTTCTTTGGGCGGTTAATACCTTTGGGCTGTAGTGATAGCATGAGACGTTATACAAACTTCGAAACATCTTACATTTTTTAGTGTTATGGGTAAACGATGGCAGTAGCAACCAACACAGAAACATCTGGATTTTGCCAAGTGATCATGATGCCAAATCACCAGTAATTTTACATTTTACTGAGTTATTCGTATTTGGAAATTTGATCCAATATGGTCCAAATTTGACCACGCCGATTCTATGAGAATTAGTGAATTACAAAGTGTTTTTGTAAAATACAGGTGATTTTTGAAACATTTCGTAGATTCTGCTTACAAAACTGTTTATCTGTGCACCAAATGCAGCTATCAGATTGAAGAAAAGCCAATGTTTTTATGTCACACTATCCCATCCAGTGAATGGCATTATTCGCCGGCTCTGCGCACGCGTATCAATGCATGCACGCACCAGGTCCCCGCAATCAAATAAACAAGAAATTTTCAGATTTTGTACAAGAACTAGAGCTGAACCTCATCATATTTTATCCCAGCTGAAAAAAGGTGCTAAAGTTTTTAATATATTTAGCTGCTACAAAACTCACATGCAAAGTACTTTTAGACCGAAAGAAGCAACTTTTTGTGATTCAAGCAGCTGCGTTTTCTTGTTCTAAAATTGCATGATATTTGTGATGGAAGGGACCACGGTCATTTCCTCTACTAAGGGTGGATTATAAACTCGTTTTACTTATGAATTACAAGGAAGCCAGATACTTTGTTCATTTGCCCGATTCTAGTACGTATTTATGATAGTTGGAGATTGGGCTTTGGGAGTTAGGCAAGAAATTTGTAAGTTCATGAGAATGTGAAGTAATGACAGTGACATGTAGTTGTAGCTAGCTTCTAAACAAGGTTCGGCATTTTTCCGCCACTTCATAGCATAAAAAGCAGCAATAAAGGCTTAATAATTCACTTAATTTCACCGGTTTGGATCATAACGATTCACGGGAAAAGGCTAACGTAATATTAAATTAAAATAGTAAATATCGCTCAAAGTTACTAGGAGAACATTTTAGCCTTTGGCGACCGTTATTTTAAATATGATATTCCCAGTCATTAAATCCGACTTCAAAATTGTTAGGTCCTGCTGTACTAGCCATCAAAAGGATCGAGACTTTGCCTGTATACTGTAACTATCAAATCAAACCTTTAAGATTTATTGCTACAAATTATGGAAGCTAATGCTGACAATATTTTACCTGAAAATTATGTCATCCATTTGAAACGAGAATGATTCTTAGAAAGAAAATATTTATTTTTATCCCTAATTCCTCACTGTGATTAGTCAACACATGCTTTCGATCCGTCTATATTTTCACTCTCGTTTATGGCGACCTCCGAGTGAACCTTATCTCGGTCACCTCCAACACGTCTATTTTGTGTTGAATAATATCTAAATATGACGCCAGTGTAAATGGTTTATTATCATAAAGTAACAATAAATTAAAACAATATAACTTATAGGACTTTTGAAATTTTTTTATGGAAAAAAATCAAGTAAAATATTGAGGACTTGAACAAAACTTATTTATACTATGCACGGTTTTAGTTTACTTCCTTAGTTATTCTAGAGGCCCCGCAGCTAGCACCTTTGGATAAGTGGGAGTTAGCAATCAAAGAAAAATGCGGGAAGAGGTGAAGTCGCACCAAAACGTTAGTCAGCGAGCTTAGTAGTTGGCCCAATACCTGCACTAGATCCTGGGATCTGTGCATGGTGTTTTTTTCTCAATGGATTATAAACGAAGCATCACGCCGACTATCACGCAGGTTAGGCGTGGAAGAAATGCAACATCCACAGCTTGACCCGATTCCCTGCGTGATTTCCACATAGCCAAAAGATAATTTGGTTACAGTGAAATGGTCGGTAATAAAAGGCCGCCAATCCTCATAGGCTTGATTTCGATTATTTTTTCTGCTTGCATTTCATGCCTCGCTATCCGAATACTTTAGAAAGACGTGAACAAATGATCCAATGTCAGATGAGCGTTTGACTGAGGTTTCCGGCCTTAAATTCAGAGCATAAAACTTGGGTTTTCGTCTTGTTCTTGGAAATATTCTGAAGCAATACCACTAAATAGGGCTTTAATTATTCTCTCCTTTAATAGTACAACATATCAAACTTCCCAAGCTAAGAATGAAGAAAAACGGCAAATGCAAGTGATTAGTTATTCAGCTTCGCAAGACTTTCCAAAATGTTTAAGTGAACTATAGCACTTATCATACCTTTTGATGTGACTTTTTCGAGCAATCACAATTTCGTCGTGTTGCGTATCTGACACCCATAAATAAGATGATGA